GCTGGCACACACAGTAGGTGCTTAATCAGCAAGGAAACCAGTTGGGCTAGCCCCTGTGTAAGAGGGAGGAGTCCTGTGAAACCATCGTGGAATGAGGTTAGAGCCCCTTGGTGAAGGACTTTAATGACAAAAAGAGGAGAAGGCAGACCTCTGTAGGAGAAATGTAGAAGAAGGCTGATTTCCAGGGCAGGCACTCTTTGTTTTCTCCCCCTCCCTGCTTCCCCAGAATCAAATCCCATTTCAGATGTAGAGAGGCATGCTGGGGTGATTGTCTTTGCGTCATTGTTGTTATGTAAATTGTCCACAGCCCTATAGTAGCCCATCAGATTCATATGCCTGCCTTGTTTCAGACTTTCCCCAGTCTATGGGCATCCCCTCAGTTTCCAGTTTGTTGCGGTCTCTCAAAATATTATTCTACATATGGATCCTTCTCCTCTTTCTTTGAGCTCTTTGGAGTATAGACCTGATAATGATGTCATTGGTCAAAGGGCATGCACAGTTCATTAGCTTTCTGGGTATAGTTCCAAGTGGCACTCCACCATGGCCAGACTAGCTCATTACTCTACCATTAATGTTCCTGTTTTCCCACATCCCCTCCAGCATTTGTCATTTTTCTTTTCTGTCATTTTAGCCAGTCTTATGGGTGTGTGGGGGTACACCCTTAGTTACACTCTTAATTATTAGTGGTTAGAACACTTTTTTCATATGGCTATTAAAAGCTTGAATTTCATTCTCTGAAAACTGGCAGTTCATGTACTTTGATCATTCATCATTTAGGGAATGGTTCTATTTGTAAATTTGACCCAGTTCTCTGTATATCTGAGAAATGAGATCTTTATCAGAGAAACCTGCTGTAAAGATCGCTTCCCCCACCCTGTTTTCTGCTTCTCACCTAATTTTAGATGCGTTGGTTTTGTTTGTACAAGACCTGCTTAGTTTTGTGTCTTGTTAAAGTTGTCCATTCTCCCTCCTGTGAACATCTCTACCCCTTTGTTTTGTCATGCCATAGCTACGGCACCTCTGATTTGCTCGTGATGTCTAAGTCATGTGCCTGTTGGGAGCTTATGTTAGGACAGATGGTTCTTGCTTCACATAAATTCACATTATGCAGATTCAACTGTAAAGAACTCTGAAAGAAATCCACATTCCCAAAAAGCACCTGTGCAGCACTGTGTGTACTCTCTCTGCTCCTCTCCCTTGGCTTGGCATTCCATGGCCTCCCCGCCACCACCCCCCCAAAACGCTCCAAGTAAAAGCAGAAGAGATAAGCGCTCCTGCTGGTGCTGCCACATCTGGGGCTCGGCTTGAGATCTGCGACACCAAGAGAGGAGACGTTTGCCTTGCCTGCTCACCCGTTGGCTCTCTCTTCTGTCAGAGTTAAGTGACTTGCTCAGGGTCACACAGCTAGTGAGTGTCTGAGGCCACATTTGAATCTATGCACTATGGCACCCTCCAGTAGCCCAGTTGAAACAGTACTTTGTATCTTCTCTTAGGGGCAGTAAGGAGCCATTGGAGTTAACTGGGTCAGGTTTGAGTTGGTGGGATCTAAGGTGCCTTCAGCTCTGGTTCTGTGCTGGAGCAGGAAGTGAGCAGAAGAGGCCTTGGGAGGGGAGAGATGGGAATGGGGATAGACTGGTGGGGGCCGGGTGAGAGAGAGTGACCCAGAGGGGATTGGCCTGGGGCTGTTCCTGGAACGGGAGCCGTTCCACCCATGGAGAGGGGACGTGGATGAGGAGACCATGGAGGGACCCCCGAGAGGGGGTCAGCGCTGTCCCAAAACCCAGAGTGGAGAGAGTGTGGTCCCCAGGGTCAGATGCTGCACAGAGGGCGGTAGAGATGAGGGGGAAGAAAAGGGCCCTGGCAGACTTCTGGGGAGGCGCTTTCAGGGTGAGGGTGTCCAGAACCCGAGAGAAAGGGGATCTGGCAGGAGGAGAGCTGAAGTTGGGTGGGGATGGAGAGGGCAGGAGAGTTGTCGCCGATGATGTGGGATTTCCAAGTGGGGCTTGAGAAAGAAACTGGCAGTTGTTGGAAGAGCCACGGGGGAGCAGTCTGGGCAGAAGGTGGAGTGAAACCAGTTGAATAATCCTGGAAAGAAGAGTATCAGCCCAGGTATCATCCGGTGGAAGCAGAGTGGACAGAGAGGCAGGAGGACTTGAGTTCAAATCCAGCCTCAGTTTCTCCCACTGTAAAATGGGGAGAAAAACAGCACCTATCTTTCAGGGCTATTGTGAAGATCTAATGAGAGGATATTTGTAATTATTCTTACATTTGGTCTTCACAGTGACCATCTCCACTTGAAGTAGAGTTAGGAGTGTCTGGCATGTCATAACTGCTTAATTCCTCCCTCCCTCCCTTCTTCCCTCCCTTTCTTCTTTTCCTTCCTTCCACCACAAGGAAATTCAAGAAAGACGAAGATTTTATGTTTTAAATTTTATTTTAAAGTCTTTGAATTTGGCGATTACGTTATTGACATTTGAAAGAGCAGTTTCTTCCTTAAAGTGGTGGAAACACAAATCCTTTTCCAAAGTGTTGACAAGCACATTTGTTCTGATTTAGCAGTGATGGGCAGAATTGATAGTTTCTCCAAGAAGTTTAGTGGTTATCTCCCACTTTTAGAATGTAAGCCCTGCAGGGCAGGCATGGCCTTGTCCTCTTTAGTTGTATCCTTAGGACAGTGCTTGGCCCACAGGATCGCTCATTCAGCCAATCAGCAAACCTTTGTTCATTGACTGCTACATGCCAGGCATTGTTCTTTAGGATACAGAGATTGGTACAGCACTTGCTCGGGGAGCTTATGTGTTCAATAAATGCATTTTCAGAAATGCTTATTGAGATGAGAGTAATTGTGGGGGACAAGGTAAGAAGGGCAATGGGGGGAAGGCGTGAAGGAGGTAGGCCCTGATCTGCTCCGAGCGGGGGATGGTGAGGAAAGGGAAGAGGCCAGGCCAGAGCGCAAAGATGATTAGCAAGCAAGCGAACATGTTGGGAGTGGGTCAGCAGCCAGCAGCGGGATTTGCCATGAAAGAGCAAGGTGCACATTGGGTACAATGCCAGGAGTTTGATGTGCTTTCTTACTGATAGATTTAAATCCAAATACTGCCTTCAGCATTATTGCAAAAGGACACATAGGTCTGCACATTTTTCTACTCAGCTTTTCATTTAAAGCCGTAATTTGTTAATATTTTTTCAGGTTAATTTTTAAGTTACATTAGAAAACAGAATAATTTTTTAAAGCACCAGGTGTTTTGGAGATGAACCATCTCCAATTCAGTAGGATAATTGCGGATAATTGAGGGATCTGTTTGGAGATTCCCATCATCTCCCCTATTCCTGCAGTCCAGATACATTCCAGTGGGCCTGGGACCATCGGTGTGGGTATTCCCTTCAGTGATGCAGATTGCAGCCCCTCTGGGCCTGCCCTTCCGATGTGACTCTTGGTTTCCCACAGAGTGTCGTGGGGCGCTTCCTCAGGACTGCTGTACCTTGTGGGGCTCTCGTGTGCTATCTCCTCTATCAATCACATTTCTTTAGCGTTCTTTCCACCCATTTCCCTTCATCCTCCTGTATCCCATGTTTACTGGGGCTGCCATGCAGGTTCCCTTTGCCTTCTGGAGCCAGAATTCTTAACCCCCTTTTTTGGGGAGTTCGTCTTGACCCCTTTATCCCCTCGGGGTGGGGGCGGGTCCATCTTTAGTCATCCTGATCCATTTCTGGCCCAGATGGCTCTGGGGGAGGGAGTGAAGTGGCTGGCTTTGCACAGTCCTCCCTCACTCACATCCAGTTCCTTTGCAAGTCATGGCATCACCTTCCTGATGCCACAGTCCTCTTTGAGCACACAGTACAAACTCTGCCGCCACCGCCAGGTGGCCAGCTCCCAAATGATGATCCTCTCTGAATGTGGGCTGGGCCTCAGAAAGCAGCCAAGGCTTTTTGCAGATCTGCAGCCCACGGAGGGACCCCATTAGGGCTCTGTGGGGAGCGTCTGGGAGACCTTGAACCACAAAGCTGAAATTTCCAGTCCCCTGTTGTGGAAGTAGTTCCCGCTCCGTGGGCCTCTCTGTGTCTGCATTTCCCAGCGTCTGGAGCCTGGTCACAAGGCAGAGGGGGCCCAGCCACGCAGTCGTCCAAACAAACGCCCACTCAGTTAGATAGCTAGTCATTTGGATGAATCCTTGGTTAGGTCAGAATAACGGGGCTCAGACACTCAGCTTGACGAAGAGAAGAGCTGTCCTGCTGCTCCCGAGGCGAACCACTGATTTTTGGTCTGCTGACTTTTGTTAGAGGAGATTTACAGTGGACAGTAAAATCACGACCAAATTTAAAAATACGCGATTCAGCAACCTAAAATTGCGTCTTCGTTTGGGTCGAGCCTCTTGGATCCAGTCACCACAGGCAGCTAAAAATACATCCTGGCTTTAGCCTGGCAGAGAGAGACTGGGGACCCCGGGGGGCCTGAGACTGGCTCCTTCATGGACAGGTGCATTCCTCCGACACTAGGCTGGGACAGTCTGGGGGACCCACTGTGATAGAAAGAGAAAAGGCATTACTTAGCCTCCCCCGCGCCTCAGTGTTGTCATCTATAAAAAGGACAGTTGGACGAAATGGCTTCCAACGTCCCTTCTAGTTCTCAATCTATGAATCTGGTGTTTTAGGGGAACGGGCCTAGCCCAGGGAGGGAGAACGAGAATGCGAATGGCTCTGTAATAACAGGTATTTCAGGCACTTCCAGCGTGAGGCCAGTCCCAGTGCTTTGACATTCCCATTCGTCTCTCTTCTGCACTCATAGCACTTTCTCTCTGTATCACACCCCAGCAACCACTCAAAGAGGCCAGACATTCCTGAGAAATTCAGACTTGTGCTTTCACCCAAAGATGGAATGTGATTCAATCCCCACCATCAGTTAGCAGCCTGGTCCTTGTTTTGTCTGCTGTTTGGCGCCCCTGGGCCCGGGCTCTCGCTGACCCTGGCTCAGTCTTCCGAGGTGGGGGGGGGCCCTCGGGCTGGCCGCACACGGCATGCAAGTGTGCTGTACGTTAACAGGTTGGCGGCTTGGGGTTTACCAGAGCTTTCCTGTGTTTGCAGAGCTCAACAAGAATCCAGTGGAAGGATTTTCAGCTGGTTTAATAGATGACAACGATCTGTACAGATGGGAAGTCCTCATCATCGGCCCCCCAGACACGCTGTAGTGAGTATCACCTGGCAGCCCAGCTGTCCGGCGTGCTGTGTTGGGGTTGGGAATCCTAACGGTCGCAGGACAGAGGGTTAGGATTTGGAAAACTTCAAAACCTGAACTGACTTGCCCCATTTGTTAAGTTAATCTCCATACCCTGTATTCACACAAAAAAAGCCTTTGACTGACAGATGTAGTCTAGTATTATTTTAGTGTTGATTAGGGAGATGAAATATTTGCTTAATTTACCAGAAATATTTTATAGAAGAAGGCAATTTCTGAAGAGGAAAGTTCACTGGAGACTGTGCTTGGTTGAAGAAAGCCAGTGATTTTTTTGCAGTCACCCATCTTCTGAGCTACTAAATAACCTATTATAGAATAATTTACTTAGTCAAAATGTGAGTTTGACTTTAAGATGTCGGTTGATATTTTTCTTTTTAATTGCAAAGAAAGTGTTGTGTCCTGGATGGAACGATCAGGATCTTGTCATGTGGAAAATAAATGAATTCCAGCAATGACCTTGAATGTGAAATCCTGCTTCTTGAGCCACATTTGCCTGTCGTGACCCTTTATGTGACACTGGGCACTCAAGCTCTGGCCATTCTAAATTCAAAGGAGACAAGGAGACCACCCCACTCCCCCTTTGACGGGTGAATCGCGTCCCAGCTGTGGTGAGAGCCTTGGCCCTCCGTGTCCTGGGACCTCTGGAGGAAGCCAAGCTGGGTGTGGACCGAGTTTTCAGAGTGCCTTATGTTAGACGGTGTGACAGAGTAGCAGTGGGTAGGCGACTGTTGAGACAAACATGGCCAGAACCCCAGGCCACCCCTCTTCCCACCGCGTGGGTTCTGGCCCTCCTCACCTCTGACCAAGCAGCCTGGGCCCGGCTTCCCGGTGGGCCTTGGTGCTGGCTGCCCCATCACATGGAAGGCCCCCTTCTTGGAAGATTCGGCTCCGGCGCCAGCTGCTCCCAAGGACCTCCTGCAGCTGCCTCGTGCGCTTTCGCTTTGTGTGGATTCCATCCGTGTTTTCCCAGCTGCACTGTTGTCTCCCTGTTAGAGCAGGGACCGTTTGGTTGTTGTCTCATATCTACATTGCTGAGCACAGACAGTCCTTGTGGATCAATCTCTCCACCAAGGTGAAGGGGGTCTCCCTGAGAATTTGAAGAAGCCCAGCCTCGAGGGGTGGGATGCCTTTTGCCCAAGGCTGTGCCTCTCTCATCGTCAGAGTCCGGACTCCATCTCGGCTTCCTGAGACCAGGGAGGATGCCCCCAGCCCCCGGCCTCCCTCTTCTGTATACAAAAAGCCACCATCAGTAGTAAGGAGGGAGCAGCTGGGCTTGCTCTCTGGGGGCTGCCACCATACCAGGTTTCTGCAGCGGGCCAGCCCTCAGGCAGCTTGGCAGAGCTTTCAATCCCATGCCCCAGGCTGAGGCCCACCCAATACCATGGGGAGGTTTTGAAGGGCGACTGCAGAAGATGTGGTGTTCTGAGCAGGCAGTGTGCCTTGAGCTCCCTGAGGGGTCTGAGGGAAGCTCGGGGGCAGAGACCGCCGACAGACCTTCACGAGCGGAGCCCACGTGAGAGATGGGCTTGGTGGGCTTGCTGTCAGGGTGGCAGCTCACCCCTCCTCCCTCCAGGGTACTTTTGTCCCCCGCCCCCCAGCCCTCTTAGCTTCCTCTTTGGGTCCTCTCCGCCACTCGAACGTCAGCTCCTTCTTTCTTCTTGGATGAGGGTGGTGGTGGTGGTGACCTTGGCCGGCTGGGGTTCTTCCTGGGGCCACCAGAGGGCACTGCTCGCTCTGACAGCCCGCAGGGCACTGGGCAGTCCTTGTTTTCAGCAGTGTTTTCAGGTTTTCAGCAGTGAACTTGCGGTCTGGTCTCGAGTGGCTGGGCCTGTGGCTGGAATGAGAATGTTTCTAGTGTCTCCCGGTGCCCAGGGACAGAACAAGGCGCTGGTTAAGCCACACGTCAGCGGGCAGGACAGGAGAAGCGTCTTTGGCCTTTGGGGAGTGTCCCAGGGTCCGTGGCCAGGACACTGGTCTCTGGGTGTGTTTGTCTGGTTTCACGGTGCTCCAGAACTGGGAGGGACCTTGCAGACAGATAAGGAAACTGAGGCCACATGGCAGAGCTAGGGTCTGTCACTCCAGATGCAGCACCCTGCCCTGAGCTGCCTGTTTGTTTTCATCATTCCTTAGAGCGCAGTGACATTCTTCTACCAGAATTTTTTCAGCATTCCCTCATTCTTGGCCACACACTTTGCTAGCATCAGTAATGTTTCTGTGACCATTTCTGTACGTGGGAATCTGTTCTTGCTGGCCACGGTCTCCTCCGATGTACCGCGGGGGGTGGTGATTTTTCTTAGTAGTCTCTGTAAGGGATAAGCCAGTTTGCAGGCTCCCCATGAAATCTCTGCGTCTCTCCGACAGTCCCTCTCTGAGGAGTCCCCCCACCTTTCAGCACGAGAGCTCCCCGAACTCGACCAGAGCTGCGTCTGTAGATTGTGTTTCAGCATCATTAGACGTTCGTAGTGGTGCGCACTTTACGAGACCTCCGAGGGGGTCGGAGGCACAGAAAGTGACGGCCCGTCCTTTGGCGCCTCTCTGTTCGCTGGGCGGGGACGAGGTCACCCTCAGGCTTTCTCTGGATGGTGGCGAGGGTACTTTTGGGTTTTTGAACATTTGTATTTCTTTTGAAAACTGTCGCTATGCTGCCTGCTGATGGCGCTCTCGCCAAGGAAGCCATTTCCGAGGGCTTCCTCTTTTGGGTCTCGCTTCTCCCTCCCCCATCCACAACAGTTGTTTTTGCTGCCTTTGGCCACGCCCAAGTGCAGAGCACACGCACAGGCACTCTGTGTGTGTGTGTCTTAGCAGGTGGCTGTCCATGAGCCCAAGGAATCGGACCTGGACTTCCATCCCGGCGCTGTGTGAGCAAGGAAATGTGCTGGAGTCAGGAAGGTCCAAGTGCTCCCTGGGACACTGCTCCGTCAGCTTCCGTGTCCTCGGCTGTAGAAGGAGGATGGCGCCGGGCACTGCTAAACCATGCCGAGGATACGGATGGGAAGCCTGCAGTCCCTGCGAGGGTGACGAGGCGGGGAAAGTCCATTGGCGGTGTCAACCGACGTGGCTGGTCAGTGTCACCATGATGCCAGACCAGACTCCCCAGCATCCACCTGCATCTCCTTGACGCAAGCATAGGGCCGGGCTTAGCAGGAACACTGAGCTCGCAGACTTAACTCAGGCACAAATGAGGGACGGAGGGAGTGAGACAGGGGAAAGCCAGCACGCCGCAACCCTGCGACGCTTCAGTGGCTCTAAGAAACCGCCGTGTGGGTTGGATGGTGCTGGGTTCCCACCGCCCTGCGCCGCTGAGCCAGGCACTCGCCTCATGATGGCAAAAAGGGGGAGTGGCCTCTGGACCAGTCTTGGGAAACTGTGTTTGCTGCTTTCTTCTTACTCCGGAAGTGCACTCAGGGTTTTCTTTGTGCGTGCAGAATGCTGCACAGGAACTTGGCGGTCTTGACTTGGAAGCTCTGAGAGGCCTGTTAGCAGCTGCAGCCTTCTGCGCGGGGTTCCCAGCCCGAGAGCCAGAGGAAAGCCACGGCCCAGAGCTCCAGCCATGTGAACCTTGGGGCTAGAACACTTACCTGAAAGGGTTGGCAGGGGTTTTCCATTATTTTTAAAGCATAATCTTACTTGGAAAGACAGTCATGATTAATGGAATGATAGCAATCAGTGCTTTTCTCAAGGCTGTCACTAGAACGGCTAGGCTGGGGTCTCTGAAGCCTTCAGGGAAAACAGCTTGCAGAGACAATTCAGAGGCTTGATTGGGTGTCCATTATGGGCAGCGAGGGCAAGGATGTGGACCAGGATGGGAGGGGCCAAATGGATTCATCTGTCAGAATTAGACCTTCCTCCTTTGTCCTGTGCCCGGGCCTAGGAGCTTGAGCTGTAACGGAGGATTACCCCCGTGGAGTAGTGGGTGTCAGAACCATTCCTTAGGGATGAATGTCAGAACGTCTCGTTTCACAGTTTCTGACAGGGCATTGTTCCCACAGCCGTCAGGACCCCCATTTAGCTGAGCAGCTCTTTCCTTGGCCGTGGTCTCCGGGCACGCCCTGTCAGAGGATCTACCGGGTATTACACGTCTTTCTAACACGCACTTTGCGCATCCCTGGCCATCCTTTGCAGGACTGGACGCACCTTCACGCACGCTCCAGCACCATGATCTAGGAGAGGCCCGAGGCAGATCACTTGCTCCCTCTCCTTAGAGAGGAATCAGTCTGGGTGGTCCTAGGATAGCCCCAACGTGCTGTCGGTGCCCAGACAAACTTGAATAAATCAGAAAGCTGCTGCTGCCCCCCCGGACAACTCTTGACTTGAAATGACAGATGCCTGCCCAGTGGGAAGGAATACCAGGAGCCCAGCTCTGAACCAGCCTCTCACAGCAGGCGGCGATGGAGAGCCGCCTATGGGAGGGGGAAAAACAGCCCTGCCCTGAAGGAGCCTGTAGACAAAAGGGAGGGGACTCCGGAAAGGCTTCCCTTGCAAAGTGACTGGTGCCCACAGCGCCAGGCTGGAGTCAGAAAGGAAGACCGGAGTGCCAGGCCAGGCTCAGCGGGCCCTGGGTGAAAGAGGTGCGGGGGAGCAGGAAGCAGGCCACCATTGTGTCGGGGGACAGGATGCTGCGGCTCGCCTTTGCTTGTTACGGGTGGACACGCCAGTGCCTTGGAACTCAGCCCAGGACTGGGCCCCCTGCACCTAGCAGGTGTGCTAAGCGTTCTTAGTTAGTGGAGGTGCACGTGCAAAGAAAAGCAGACCCCGCCCTGTTGAAGAGCGAGTATTCTGGGTGGGGAGAGTGACATGGAGATGGAGCAGCAGGAGGCTTCCAGGACCCCAGCCCAGTCCGACGGGGCAGGTGGGGATTTCCTGAGGGGAAGAGGGAGAGCCTTCCGAGGGGCGCCTCCCCCAGAGCTGGGTGCACACGCAGCCTCCTTTCCGGGGGCCTTGGTGGGGATGACCTAGCAGCTCCAGTGGAGGTCAGACTTGGCAAAGCTGCCCACCAGCTGGGCTCGAGGTAGAACTGTCTGGAGGACTCTGCCAGGGTCCCGTGAGGGGGTAGGTGGGTTAGCTGGCTGGAGCCCCGTGGGGAGGAGGAGCACTGAGATAGGACAGGGCAGAGAACAAGCTGCCCAGAGAGGGTGTTTGAAGCGTGGTCTGAGGGCCGCGCCCCAAACTAGGATTCCAGAGCCAAGAGGCTCACTTCCCCCAGGGAGGAAAGGCCGGTCTCTGGTCTAGGGCAGAGGGTGCTGTTCTGACAGATGGAGAGTGGAGGACAGGGGCGGGGAGGTCCAAGAGACTGGGGGTGTTGGGCATCCTTGGGGAGAGATGATGGACGTTGTGCAGGGCTGGCAGGACTCCCGTGAAGAGTGGAGATGAGCCTTGTTCCCCAAGAGCTTTAGGCAAAAGGTGAGGAAGCAGGTGTAGGGGCGGGCTCCTTCCAGTAAAGGCTGGCAGTTTGAGAGAGATTTTTCTTGTCCTGGTGTGGGCATCCTTCCCAGGCCTGGGAGTCTGTGGGCCACTCTGGCCAGTGGCTCGGTCTCTTCTCTGGGGTAGGTTTCCTCTTCGTCTCTTTCCTCCGTATCATCTGTGCCTGTTGAATGACTCTAGATGGAGTGGCCAGAGCACCCCCCGAACCCCTGACTCTCCCTCCCCTCCCCCCGCCCCTTTTGAAAAGCCGAGGAATCTTTGTTCTCCTGTCTCTAAACAAAACTGCTGAACCTTCCAGCGGGCAGATTGAACATCATGAAGCCTCCAGCCATGGTTCCCTCCGATTGGAGACGATGGATTCTGAGCGACTGGGAGGGCGAGGGGTACCTTCCTGGAGACGGCAAGGGTCTTCTTCCACCCCCTCCCCACAAATCATCGAGCAAAAAACCGGGAGAGGAATAGTGAGATGCGCACACCCAGGAAGAGAAAAAGCAGAGTTTAAAGTGCTAACAAACTGAGAAATGTTCTCTAGCCTCTGGATCCAAAAAGCACCAGGAGCTTCTCTCCGGGTGTGGCATGGTGTGGCATGGGCATGTGGAAGGTGGGGGGTGGGAGCAGAAAGTCAGAGCAGGCAGGGACAGGAGAGGCAGGGACCCTGGAGCTTCGCTGGCCGAGGTTCTCCGAGTTTTTGTCCTTTGATCTTGGCTGTGAGGCACGAGGCTGGCCTTGGTGAGTGTGTGTCGTGTGTCTGCCACCAGCCGAAGTCACGGCCAAGGTGGGGAAATGAGGTTTTTATTTGGTGGAGGTTTCTCATGAGACATTCTCTTTGCCTTTGCAGTGAAGGGGGTGTTTTCAAAGCTCATCTCACTTTCCCAAAAGACTACCCCCTCAGACCACCAAAAATGAAGTTCATCACAGAGATATGGCACCCAAACGGTGAGTTTCCAGTTGTATTTTTACCTTTGCAAGCTTTGGAGCGGTGGGGAGTGCCTTGGTGACAGAATCAGGAAGGAAGCCAGAGTGCAGGCCACAGCTCCGTTGAATCACCTTGGCTTGGCTGCACCTGGCTTGTGCAGATGTGCGGGGGAGGGCTGCACCTGGCTTGTGCAGATGTGCGGGGGAGGGCTGCACCTGGCTTGTGCCGAAAAGGGGGGGGCGCCCCCCCCCCCCCCCCAGGCAGGGAGGAGGCGAGCCCCGTCCTTTGATGGGAGTCATTAATTGCTTTAAAAAGTAAAAAGATAGAGCTCTGGCCTTGGAGTCAGGAGGACCTGAGTTCAAATCCAGGCCGAGACGCTTAACACTAGCTATGTGACCCAGGGCAAGTCACTTTAACCCCCTTTGTCTCACCAAAAAGCAAAAAAAAAAAAAAAAGTAGAAGGAAAGCGTGCTCTCAGGACCTGTGGGCCGAGCGAGTGTTGACCTTGGTCAGGGAAGCCGGGGCTCCCAGAAGAGCCACGCCGGCCTTTGATGTATTTAATTCTTGGGCCCCTTTGGTGTCGGTGCTGCTGATGCTGCTGGCTCTGGAGCGTTCGTTGCCCTGTTGTCCAGAGGCGCCGAACGTAGGGCTGACCGTCTCATTCCTTCCCTGGTGAGGCCACCACCCATGTCCTTGGCTTACAGGCTGGCTCGCCTCTTCCTCTGCGGCCCGCAGTGACGTTTCATCTCCTGCCTCTGCACCTTTGTCCAGGCTGGCTGTCCCCTCTCATTCCCTCCCCTCCTAGCTCATTTGTATTTATTCACTTTACCTGTATGCTGTGTGTCTTTGCCCTGCCCTTGTTGTCTCAGGTACCTTGTGAGTCACCCTGCCATATGCATTTAATATAAACTTATTGTCGAGTTGGTGACTTGATATGATGGCGTCCCATCAGCATAGCATTATTAAGCACCTAGGGTATGCCAGGAACGTGTGTTCGCTGCGGGGATGAGATAAGGGGCCGACGTTCTACAATGACGTACGCCCCTTTAGAGACAGCCTGGCGCCGCAGCAGGGTGGGCCTTGGACGGCCTTTGACCCCACCCCCATGCTGGGCTTGGGGAGTGGGCACGAGTCCCCAAACAAAGCTGTTGTGAGCTGTCCCTGTGGAGATTCCTGAACAGCGGTGCTGTGGCCTCTGGGCCTTTTTCTGTTCTTCTGAGTGTCTGAGAGGAGGTGTCCCAGTCATGACCCAGGTGGGAAGGGGAACGAGGACCCCCAGGAGCCAAGCCAGGGCTGCCCCTCTTCCTGCGATGGGTGAAGGCCCAGGGAGTCCTCGTGGCTCTCGTCGTTTGTGGTCAGGGCTGGTGGCCCGCTGCCTCAGCTCGCGTGGGTTAGACCTAGAGATCTGTCATGCTGTCGAGTGGCCTTTGCTGCTGTTAACTCCCAGTCACGTTGGACAGGAAGCTCTCTCTTAGACAGACCTTGCCATACAAACAACCTGGGGCCTCAGAGTGTACCTGTTTGGCAGAGGGGGAAACAGGTGGCTTTCCCAATCCGTGCTTCAGTACTGTGCATTACAGGGCAGCAGGCATTAGAGCACAGCCCGCAGGCTTGGCCGCAATCACAGACATGATAGCGTAGAGTCCGGGAAAGACTGTTCTGGAGGCGCATGGGGGATAGCGGGGGAAGCTCCTGGAGAAGACAGCCTGCGGTCCAGCGGGAGGCTCACCTAGGGCCCGGGCCCACAGAGGGGAGGAAGGGGTGCCAAGAATGGTCCAGACGTCACCAGAACCTGGGACTGACAGCCTGAACGGCCCAGGTGGGTGAGGCCAAGGGCAAGGGGGGCACAGGAGGGGAAGACCAACTGGGTTCGAGGTCGGGGGGTCCCGAAGGCCAAGCGGGGTGAGTGTGCAGGGGCCCGGGCTGGCTCTGGCTCCATTCAGGCACAAGAAGATGTCCCTGAAGCATCTGGGATGGAGAATCAGAGCTCAGAACACAGGTCAGGGCTGGGGGACACAGAGGGGGAGGCGTCTGCATGGAGGGTGAGGTATGGGCCGCCTTTAAACCGAGGGATGTTAAAAGGAAAGAGATGGACATTAGCCGCTTGCTCCCGATGAGCCGGGGACCTGCGTGTTGTCACTGGCAGGACGGGTGGGCTTTAATCTGTCTTCAGTGAGTAGTGGGCATTCAGCCTGGTGTCTGGGCACGTTTGTCCTGTAAGCGAAGCGTTAGGTCAGGGCACTGAGGCATGAGCACCTTGGAAATGCACGGAACAGCCTTGGGTTCCAATTTAGACTCCGATGGGTGATGCAGTGGGTAGAGCCTTGGGCCTGGAGTCAGAAGACTCATCTTGGTGAGTTCAAATCTGGCCTCAGACAGTTCTTAGCTGGGTGACCCTTGGCAAGTCCCTTCACCCTGTTTGCCTCAGTTTCCTCATCCATAAAATGAGCTGGAGAAGAAAACCTCAAAATAGGGTCAAAGAGAGTCTGAAATGATTGAACAGCCACAAACTTAACTGGAGGCCTGTGTGACAAGGTGACTCATCTCACGTACATGCGCGCACACCGTGAGGTGCTGGTTTGGAGCAGCTCTCCCTTCCCTCTTACCTCCCTCTTCCCTCTCTTTCTTCTTTCCATCCCCTTTCCCTTCTCCTTCCCCCCTTTCCTTTCCTCCTTCTCTCCCTAGGTCCTGTCTTGGTCCACTGCAAGCCAGAAGACCTGTGGGGGTGTCTGGGCCCCCTCTGAAGCAGGGTCTCTGTGAACGTGTCTTAAATATCTTGGTAGCTGTTTTGGTCATTGCTTTCCTTTGCATCCCTCCCTGTCTTGTGCATTTCTTGGGCCTGCAGGTAGGGAGGTGGCCCAGAGACGCCTCGGAGTGATGGGGGGTGATGGGGCTGTTGGGGGATAGGGCAGGGTCCCTGTGGCCGCAGCTCCTGAGGGCAGTGTCTGGGGAGCGCCTCTCTGGGCTTGCCGCGGAGAGCGCTGGGAAATGACCGCCACCGCCAACCTGTGTTTCAATGTTTGGGTTTTTTTCAGTTGACAAAAATGGTGATGTGTGCATTTCCATCCTTCACGAACCTGGGGAAGATAAATATGGCTATGAAAAGCCCGAAGAGCGCTGGCTTCCCATCCACACGGTGGAAACCATCATGATTAGTGTCATTTCTATGCTGGCAGATCCCAACGGAGACTCGCCCGCGAACGTGGACGCAGCCGTAAGTTGGAAATAGGCTTTCTCTTAGTCTGTGCATCTGATTCTTGATGTTTATAAACAAAAGGGCTTGTTGTGTGGCTTCCCTGTCCTAGCCCCTGGGGCAGCTGGTTGGACTCCCTTCCTCTTTTGCAATTCCCCACCCCAAAGGGTCCCTGCCCTGGGGCTGGGGGGCGGGGTTACATTCAGCCAAAAGGGGCCCAGCAGAAGCACAGGGAGAAGAAATGGCAGGGCCTTTCCAGAGGTAGAGGGTGCCTTCAGGATGGGACGCATGTGGGAAGGGACAGACAACTCAGCCGGGCATTCAGGGGCGTGGCTGAGAAGGCAGACCACCTTTATCAAGGCCCAGGGTGGTTCACCTCAGCCACAGGTGCATGGTTTAGAGGTTCTGTGGACTTGGGACAAGGCACGAATTGTATGTGACTTAGTATACCTACCCTAAAGGTGATTTCACGATTTTTTGTTAATTTATTTTGATTTATCAACAATCACTTCCATAAGCTTTTGAGTTTTAAATGTTTCTCCCCCTCCCTCCCCAAGATGACACACAATCTGATATAGGCTATATATATACATTCCTATTAAACATATTTTCATATTAGTCATGAATTAGAACCAATAGGAGGAACCACCAGAAAGACACAACAGAAGAAAAAGATAGCAAATAGTCTGCTTCGATCTGCATTCCAACTCCATAGTTCTTTCCTTGGATGGGGATAGCATTTTCCATCCTGAGACTCCTAAAGGTGATTTCAAAAGACGTTTTGGTCCTCGGCATTGGGCCACATCTGGCCTCAGTCCTCAGCAGAACCTTGCCCCGAGCTCCCTCTCCTCCCCAACTCAGAGGCATCTCTCTTGGGTAGAACCAAGCCCTCTGCCGGCTCTTGAGCTCCCTGCAGGCATCTGCCCTCTTTGCCTTGATCGACCGCTGTCCTTCCTCAGAGCCAAGCTCTCTGGGCTTCCTCTCTGGTAGACACTGGAGGGAAAGGCCCTTACAGCCTCTTCCCGGGCCCCCGCCCAGGGACGCTTGGACATGGAGCCGTCCTGCCCTTTGGCCTCACACCGGCTCCACCATTAGCAGCGATATGCTCTTTGCCCACAGTTTCTCAGACCCACTCTGCAGCATTGAACCCTGCTGTTCACCCTCCTCTTCCTCTCTCCCTGTGTCCGCTTTAGCACACCGTCACCCTCATCGTGGCTGTCCCCAGGGTGTACGCATGCCTCTGGGGCTCTGTCCCAGCTAGGCCTTCTCTCCCTGCCCTCGATGATCTTATCAGCACTGCCAGGCAGGCTCTGGAGTGCTCATGACCACGGGTGGTTCTAGCCTCTGCCCGCCCCCTCTGCAGAATCTCTCCCATCTGTCCCCTCACTTCACCCCCCACCCCCCCCCCCCCCCCCCAGCACCCCCCCCCCCCCCCCCCCCCCCTCCCTTGCTCAGGAACATGCTGTGACTCCCTCTTTGCTCTTGGCTTGAGTGCAGACTTGCCAGGCTTTTCAAGGCCCTCAGGTCCTGGCTCTAGCTTGCCTCTAGCCCCACTGCCCTGTGTGCCCTCTTGGGTCCAGCCAAACCAGCCTCTTCTGTTGGGGGAGCCAGCCCAGAGCCCCCCGTTTGCCCGGATCTTCCCCTAGTAGAGTTGGGCACTTGCTGTGCCGCGTGGCAGGGTCGTGCGGTGTTGTCGGGAGGCCTTGACCCCTGGCCTGCCTGACCCTTGACCCCGTTGGGGCTGGCTGCCTCTCGGGTCAGTTTTGTTCTTCTCTCCTTTGGTGAAGATGTAGCTCAGGTCCGCTCCCCCGGTTTAGCTTGAATGCCCTTGGTGTCTTTCTGCATCTGTTAGTTCAGTCTTGATGCTGCTAGATGTGAGGAGGGATGGTCTCATTCTTTGTCCTTGGATTCCCCCAGGCCTCCCCCGTGCCTGGCGCATAAACAGTACTTCATCTGACGCTTCTGGGTTGTTGTTGAATTGGATGTGCTGGGCTCTGGTGATCTGCAAACCCAGGAGAACGAGGCCCCCTGAGCGGCTTGTGTCGATGGTACTGGCTCTGCCCCTGGCGTGTGCGTGTGGTCCTAGGGCCTTATCAGTCACCTCATTGTTCCTGTGTGAGTGGCGAGTCTTGGAGTGACCGCGCTTGTCTGCACCCACTCGACATGGGCGCCCCCCCAGTGGCCAAGGCCTCTGCGTCCCAGCCAAACTAGCTCGCCCTCCCATCTCTCCTCTAGTCGTGTAGCCTGCCTTGGGTAGAGGCCAGGCTCACTGGAGGGGGCAGAGGAGAGCTTCCCTGACTCCATATGCGTGGAGGGTGGTTATTGGTTACCTCCAGCCACAAGATCCCGTCCCTTTGGATCTGGTCTCAGGTGGACCGGCCACGTGTAGAAAAGATACTCAGTGTGGAACATCATGCAGGACATTGATGGTGAGGCATTCCATTATTCAGGAAGGCAAAGTAATTGTTCACCTAGTTGATGTTGTTTGTGGAATATGAATTTTCGAACTCCCTAGGAAGAGGGGATCTCTGCAAATGAATATCAGGAGTGGCGCGTTCCTGTCTTCAGAGGTTCCTGGTCCCCTAGTCATCGCCTCTGCCACAGCAAACTCTGCGGTGTCCACTCTGGCCTGGCCCTCTTCCTCAGCCTCTCCAGAACCTGCAAATGTTCTTCACTGACAGAATGGCATTTACGGGGATGCCACAGGAGACAAGCCCTGGTGCAGATGGCTAGGCTCATTTCAGCCATTTGAAACGGTTCAGATTCCCAGTTGAGAGCCGTATGTGAGTGGGGGTTTTCAAGACCCTTTGCTTTGGCTCAGAAATCTCTCTCTAGAAGCTGCTTGATGGGTAACAGGAGTCAAGTGGGCATTGTATCATTTCTCCTGAACCTAACCTGTGACCCAGGCGGCCTGAGCTAGGCTGACAGCTGGTGGTGTTCAGCTTGCCCCCCTGGGCTGGCACACACGCTCGTTCTCCTACGTAAGAGAATTTCCAGGAGGAGGGACCCAAAGCCTTCACCTTCACAGTCCGGCCCATGTCGCTGCCTTCTCAGACCCTCTTCGTCCACCTGAAAAGTGGGAGGAGGCCCAGATCAAGAGAATTACAGGATCAATAGGAGTCTTTGTATCACACCTGGCACCTGTGATCTTGGCTTTGGGTTCTGTTTTAAAAAATGGACTGTGGTAATTATTTCAATATCATTGGTTTCCTTTATAATGCTGTGCCTTTTGTATTTTGTTCTGTTAACAACACAGTTCTTAAGAAGGGGCCAGTCGGCTTCCCCAGACTGACTGCCGAGGGAAAAGGTGAAGACCCTTCACTTGAAGGAAAGGTCTTTTATAGAGGCTGCCCCTCACCCTCCTCATTGATTCCTTCATCTTTCTGCTTGTTCCCTTCCAGGGTCTCAGCACAACTTGGGGGTCGAGGCCTCAGACCCCCAAGGGAGGTGGTGCTGTTGGGGCAGGTTGCAGGCCTTGTAGCCTTTTGGAGATCCTGAGTGCACCCGATAGTCACCAGGCTCCTGTCCAGGAAGTGGGGTGGGATGGGAGGGTTAGCAGGGGACAAGTGTTAAAAAATGAGATAGGTCATGTGAATGAATGAATGAATGAATGAATGAATGAATGAGTGAGTGAGTGAGTGAGTGAGTGAGTGAGTGAGTGAGTGAGTGAGTAGATGAATGCAAAAGCATTTGGGGAAGGGCAAAGGAACAAGCATTGATTAAGTGCCTACTGTGTGCCAGGCACTGTGCTAACTAAGCACTTTACAAATAGTCTCTCGCTGGCAGGTAGGTGCTATTATGAACCCCACTTTACAGTTGAGGAAACTGAGGCAGACTGTGACCAGCCCAGGGCAGTTCAGGGTGCTGGAGTGCTGATAGCACAGTACAGCTGGTCAGGTTCAGATGCAGGGCAGACAGAGGGGCCTCAGGGGCCTCAGGGTGTGGGCAGTGCGGCTGGTGGGTAACGTGCTTTCCTTGGTGTCTTGCCCATATTCGTCATCCAGTGTCGCTGTGCTTTCGTGGGCTCCTGCTGCCCTCTGGACAGGGCAGAAACTGCTCACCCTGACCCACTTGCAGGATCCAGTCCATGATGAGCGGTGCCCTGTGGGGAGGGAGACAGGCTTGCTGGCGAGCCCCAGATGTTGGCGTGCCATATGAGGCGCTGCTCTCCGCGCTGCCAGAGTCCATGGAGCAGAGCTTCATTGTGACTGCGGCGTTTTAGAGAGAGTGTAGACCATCCAAACTGTGTTCAGAGGAAGGTAAACCAGAGGGGACAAGCTTGGAAGCCATCTCAGATGAGAAGCAGCCTTGAAGACGGGCAGTCGGGGCAGGGAGGAGAGATGGCTCTTTTCAGCTGTGTGAAGGGAGATTGCGCTCAGGCCACACCCAGAGAACTACCACAGGAGACGTCAGTAGAAGATTTGGAGTGCTCCAGTGTGACTCTGATGCCCCAAGGGAGGGATGGCGACACCTCAGGCAGCTTCCTGCCCGGGACCACAAGCAGCAGAAGGGATTAGCTTAAAGAACAGTCACGGGAGCCTGTGTGGTCCAGTGGACGGAGCCGAGGGGGCTGCCGAGGGGGTCTGGGCGGCTCTGGGCCTTCCCTGGGTCTGTCCTTTATACTCTCAGGTATCTCTTGCATGCTGCCACATTGGTCCCCAGCCCATGCCTCGGGGTGTTTCCCTGTGTATTCTGCCAGCTCTTGGGAGCAGAGAATGCTTCGTTCTTGGTGCTAAGTGTTTGTTGATTGATTTCCAAGTGACTGCCCAGAAGCTCCCCCCAAAGGCGATGTACCTGCCCTACCGTGCCCCCACTGACCACTTCTCAGACTTCCAGGATTTGCCCTTACAGCACTCAGCTTCTCGGGGCCTCCGTTTCCTCGTCTGTAGATTGAAGATGTTGGCCTCAGTAGCTCGAAGGTCCCCGCCATTTCTCTGTGTTCCTAGGCTCACTCTCCCTCTGCTCATTAGCCTGGGGATCTGAGGTGGACTTTGAGCTGTGGTCTCTTTTCTCAGCTCTCCATGCCCTGCTGCCACTGGAGCCGTGTTCCCAGTGCCCACCCAGGGGAGGTGCGTAATAATTGCCTCTTGGTTGGTTGGTTGAAAATAGGAGGGATTCCAAATAAGTGTGCATCTCTAAGCCCTTCTTTGTGAAGGTGGGAGGCTATGGGTGTAGATCTGTGCATATACCATCAGACTTGAGGGAAGTGTCATGAGTTTTGCTGAACTGAGGGATCTCTCTCTTTCTCTCTTGTTTTGTTTTGTTTTGTTTTTTTGGTGAGGCAGTTGGGGTTAAGTGACTTGCCTAAAGTCACAGCTAGTGAGTATTGTGTGTCTGAGGGCAAATTTGAACTCGGGTCCTCCTGAATCGAAAGCCGGTGCTCTATCCACTGCGCCACCTAGCTGCCTCTATTTCTGTCTCTTTAGGGGGGATGAGGGCAGAGGTATAGAAAGATGATGGAACATTTTCTTAAATGACCTCTTCTGTTCTTCTCCTTGCCCCCATTTGCATTGAATCTCTGCTCCAGATGCCCAGCCAACCTTGGGAGGGCGTCGGATTTCTTTCCTTGCAGCACCTGGTACAGTTCTTCCTGCCTAATTTTTGTTGCTTTCTCTGTCTTATGTTCTGTCTTTCTACATTTAAAATTGCAAATGTGTGGAAGCCGCCAAGGGGGGCCTGCTGGCGGTGTTTGGAACATAGTTAAGATTAAGAGGAAGTGTCTTCTAATCATCTTGGCACTTTGTTTGTCTGCCTGCAGAAAGAATGGAGGGAAGACCGAAATGGAGAATTCAAGAGGAAAGTAGCCCGCTGCGTGAGAAAAAGCCAAGAGACTGCTTTCGAGTGACTTTTGTTTAGCAGCTCGTAGCTTCACTTTTTCAGGGTAAGTGGATCTTTGCCCCATTTAGTTGGTAATCTTCCTGTTCTCGGATCTGTGAATTCTTAAAGGCTCCAGGAGTTGGCACCAACGCCCGAATGGATACTTCTGTCCTGCTGTGTGCCAGCTGGCAAGACCAGCCTACTTTAGTCTCCAGGGCAGAGGACCGGCCTGGCTTCCTCTTTAGGACAGAGGACCGGCCTGGCTTCCTCTTTAAGACAGAGGACCGGCCTGCCTTCCTTGTTAGGGCAGAGGACCAGCCTGGCTTTATCTCCAGGGCAGAGGACCAGCCTGCCTTCATCTTTAGGGCAGAGGACCGGCCTGGCTTCCTCTTTAGGGCAGAGGACCGGCCTGGCTTTATCTCCGGGGCAGAGGACCAGCCTGCCTTCCTCTTTAGGGCAGAGGACCAGCC